AACCACACCCCTGAGAGAAGAGCTTCCAGTGAGTGCTGGGAGTCCTAGTCCTGAATTACTGACCCTGAGGCTGGTTTCGGGAAACTCCCAAACCTGCAGTTGGCGTCAAAACTGAGGGTGGCCCTCAAACCCCCAATGTGGCTAACTCTGGGGAGGGGACTGGGATCTGGACCCAACTGGGTGTGTTGAGGGTACCTAGCCTCACTTGGAGTCCATCCTGCTCCCTCCAGTCACACTGTCCAGGGTTAGGAGAGGCTGCATCATCCAAACGCAAATCTCTTCTGGCCTCCAGAGGACGTGGCAGGCGGAGAGGAAAAGCTGACCCCATAAACATATGCACACTATCAATGCAGAACACCAAGGTCAGTGGTTACTTACTGCTAAGTTGGAATACTTAGAATATGAAAAGTATTTCAGATATACCGTCAGTAGGAAAATAATGTTACCAAAACAAGATGGTACAATACCTTGTCAACTTCTCTATATAAGCCCAGCCATGGTGGCTCAGTGATTAAGCTTCAACCTATGACCCAGGAGGTCACAGTTCAATTCCCGGTCAGGGCACATGCCTGGGTTTTGAGCTCGATCCCCAGTGTGGGGTGTGCAGGAGGCAGCCGATAATGATTCTCTCTCATCACTGATATTTCCATCTCTCTCCCTCTCTCTTCCTCTCTGAAATCAATAATATATTTTTAAAATTCTATATATGTATACACATAATATAGTGTGTGTATATATTCATATATGTGCTATATGAATAAATATATATACATATGGAGACAAACACAGATACTGACAAACAGACCATAAGACATCACCAGAGAGAGAGAGAGAGAGAGAGAGAGAGAGAGAGAGATATATCAAAGTAGAGAGGACTAGAAGAAAGCATCCTGAAAAGTGTATATCCCTTGCACAGCGGGCCTGAAACTGCTAACCTTAAGCCTGCTTGCAAGACTGGTCCTAGGCTGGACTTGCAGGGTTCCCGCCATCCCCTCACTGAGGACAGTGGCTCACGCTCCTGGAATGTTTGTGTGTGCTATGCAGAGGGTGCCTACGTGACTGACGCCTGATAAAAACCCTGGCTCCCAGGCTGTGAGCTCCCCCGCAGACAACGCTGCATGTGGCTGGACTCTGATGGAGGGAGGATTAGTCCTGTGTGCCTTTCCCTCGGCTGACTGCCCTGGACCCTTTCCCTGTAATACCTCTTGGCCACGGGTAGGACAATGGGTTGGACCCTGAGTCCATCCAGAGAGGGGTAGGGAACCTTTTTCTGCCAAGAGCCATTTGGATATTTATAACATCATTCCTGGGCCATACAAAATTATCCACTTAAACATTAGCCTGCTAAATTTGGTCAGACATTTAATTTAGAAAATAAACTTTCTTTCCATCTAGAGCCTGTGCGATCAGGACTCTTTGGTCATAACCTGACCTCAGTGCCCACAGTGAGAGGGATGATGTCCTGCTCCTAGCACCTGTTAGGGCACAGCACTTACCCCAGGGGCAGGCCCATTGCAGGCACTGAACAGAAGTATGATTTTGGCTCAACATTCTACTTTTTGGCATATATCCCAAGGAAGATAATATGTATATATCTTGTGTACATATGTATGTGTGTGTGTATATATTATATATATATATATACAATATATTTTAAAGAATACATATACACACACACATATAATGTTTTATTATATTACATATATATATTTTTTTAAAGGCTAATATGCAAAGTGTCCCCTTGGGGAGTTCGATCAATCATTATGACATGTGCTGACCACCAGGGGGCAGCACAGAACAAAGGAAGGCACCAATCATATATATATATGTATATATATACACACACATACATTCGTACACATATACATACATATACACACTCACACACACATATATACATTCATACACATATATACACACACACACACACACATTTTTTTTTGGAGAATTATTCCCCCAAAATGAATACAGACTTTGAATAATTATTAATTCCAATAGGTTAAATCTAAAAAGAAAGAAAAATCAACTTAGCTATCAGCTTTTAAGTGTATACATTTTGGGGGGAGACACCCAGTATATGCACCATGAATTCCTGGTTCATAAGTTTCATGAGTCGATGCTTAACAACTGAGCAACACTGGCCGGGCTCAAGTTTCTTCTTTTTTCTTTAAAGGAAGGGCCCTAGGAGCTTGGAAGTGAGGAAGGTAATGGTAATAGGCCTGGGAGGAGGAGGAGAGGGACAGAGGTAGGAGGGAGAGGGGGGGAGAGAGAAGAGGAAGGGGAGAGGAGGGGGAAGGAGGGGAGGGGAGGGTGCTGGCATGCCTGGGAGGGAGAACACACTCTCAAGTTTCTCCTTTATGAGCTCCTTAGGAAATTGAAATTGTTGGCAGTAGACCTGCATTAATCCCATTATAAGAAATAAACTTAAGACAGTCCCAAAGTTAAAGAAAAATAATAAAGAGAAAACCCCACAGTTGGAGTGCGGTATATTGCCGTCAGTAAGAGAAAGCTGAATGAATAGGCCTGTGGTAGACTGAACAGCATACGTCCTAATTCTGGAAACTGGAAATATGTTATATTAAATGGAAAGGGGAGTTAGGTTGCAGCTGGACTTAAAGTCACTAATCAGCTGACCTTAAAACAGGGAGATCATCCAGAATTATCCAGGTGGGTCCAATGTAATCGCAAAAGTAGATGAGGGGTGTCAGAAGGAGAGAGAAAGATGCGCGGAGGAAAGCAGGGGCAGCGTGATATGACATGAGAGGACTTGTCTGTTGGCTCTGAAGATGGAGGAATGGGCTGTAATTCCAGGAATGCAGGCAGCCTCTGGAGCCGGGAAAGGCAGGGGAAGAGTGCCCCCTAGAGCCTCTGAAAAGGAACGCAGCCTTACCAACACCTTGGGTTTAGCCCAAGCATGTCAAACCCACAATGAATATTTTTGCGGCCCAGCCAATATAACGTCATGTAAAAAACGTTTTAATAAAAATTTCGTAACTTAATTTTTACAAATCCTGTTACACATAATTATTAATAACGAATACAACGTTCGCTAATGACTGATGACTATAATCCTGTTGCGTTCATTTCCCTTACTCGCTGGCACCCCATGTCTCTCCACTAATACCAGCAGCGATTATTTTAGCAGCTGATTGCCACGCCATTAGTCTTGTACTGGCTTGTTTGCACAACAGGAAATATTTCGCTTTCGGAGAACAAGAAAAATAGGTTTATTTGTGTGACGCTTATGAATTTGTGCAGTTCTTCAGTGTCTGGTAAGTTCATGTTCAAGAAAAAATATTAATTTTTATTAGAATGTTCTATTATTTTATGTTAACAATGACTCATTTATTTCAATGAGTCCCTTGTATTCAGCATGTCTCTAGTGAAATAAACCCACGTTTCTATGAAAATGGGAGCTTTTGGGGGGTTTTTTCGGCCCACATACACTTACACCTTGTTTATTCAGCCTTTGAGTTTGACATGCTTGTTTTAGCCCAGGGCATTTTGGACTTCTAACCTCCAGGACTGCACCTTAACAAATCTGTGCTGTTTTCAGCCACTAAATCTGTGGCAACATGTTACAGCAGCAACAGGAAACTGACACAAGGCCCCGTATCGGAAAAACGGGTGACAAACCGATATGACCTCCCTGACCTTGCGCATCCTTCCCCGGTGTCTCTAATACCATCAGACTTGGCACAACAACAGCTAAGCTGCTCCCTGACCTGATTAGGGACAGTGTGGGAAGCAGATAGAAGTGTTTGGTACAGGGAAGGTGCTCCATACAAGTGGCCCCTCTCCCTTCCGCCTTCATTGAGTAAGCAATTAAAATGTCATATTGAATAGGATACTTAAAAAGTGTTTTATTGCCCTGGCTGGTTTGGCTCAGTGGATAGAGCGTCGGCCTGCAGACTGAAGGGTCCCAGTCAAGGGCATGTACCTTGGTTGCGGGCACATCCCCAGTTGGTGGATGTTTCTCTCTCATCGATGTTTCTAACTCTCTATCCCTCTCCCTTCTTCTCTGTAAAAAAATCAATAAAATATATATATTTTAAAAAGTGTAAGATGTTTGCACCTGGCTATAAAGCAAGTAGTATTTCTGGGCTGAAGAAACTCCAAGGAGGTTAGTCACTAGGGAGAGGAAGCCGGGGGTTGCTATGT